TGTATATTTTTTTACGACTAGCGTTTAAGTCAGATATAAACATAGAAAATGCAGTAGTCTGCCAGCCTATGCCACATCTAGCAGTAGAGAGGATATCCTCACATCTGTAGCCTAGCCTCCTGTGATGGTCTCATCCTTCAAAAGTCCAATTCCACACACTGGAGATGCCAACCAGGAACAGCTGGCATCAGGAGCGATGGAACATGAGCATTCCCAGATAGAACTTGAACATTCCATGATGGAACAGGGAATGATCAGGGAACAGGGGCTTTAATAAATCTCAGTTGAAGTCGACAATCAAACAGAACTTGACGCAACATGGATCTGTCAGTGATTGCCTGGCTGCTGTCAGAGCTAGAACCAAAATGGCAAGCCCTGCATCTCTCTAGTCAGCCAGTAGAGCTGAGCCGGTAGTGCTGCACTTCTCTATCACCCTCACAACCACCTCTCTTTGGCCAGAGCTAACACCCAGGACACACACCTCAGTAGTACTCACCACAGGCAGATCAGAGCAAACACCATTCATCACCATGGCTGAGGGACTTTGCTCCTAAACAACATGGCAACTAGTACAGCCTAGAGGGCAAACACATGGTTCTGGATACAGATGAGGGTTGAAAACAGTATAAACTATGCAAACACTGGACAAATACACATTTCCTTATCAAAATCATTTCAGCTAGCTGTGTTTCCGAATCAATTATTTTCATCCCAGTGGGTAAATGAATAGCTATTCAGACAGAAACTCCCCAATCGCCGAGGCTGGACCACAACATCCACTATAAACATATGGGAAATTCCAAGGTAACAGTGTATGTTTTTTGTTTGTTTGTCAAACAAAAAACTAATGATTGCAAAGTTAAACAAACAACTACAGAAAACACACAGACAATTTTACAAAAACACATTTACTTGAACAGTGCAGATGAAAAGTTTGGTAACAGAATGATGGCACAACAGGTCATTCAAGTCTCAGCATCACTCTTACCATGAAATTGCCCATATGTCTTTGTTTGTTTGATCAGTCCTACTAATAAAGTTCATCTGGTGACTTGCCTCATGAAGGCTGTGGCATATCTGATGAAACCACAGAAGCCACAGTAATACAGAAAAGGGGAACTGCTTTCTGGATGGAAGGACTTATGGAACCCATGGGCTGAGGGGGCCATTCCCCGCTCTCTTCCACACACAGAAATAGACTAACATACCGTAATGGTGTCCAGGGTAAATTGATAACATTTTAGATGATCATGAATCTAAAATGAAGGCGCTGTAGTGAGAGCAGACGTTGTTATAATAATAATAATATGCCATTTAGCAGACGCTTTTATGTGCAGTGTGCATTTGGTTTTCCAATAACATTTGGTATTTTGGCAGTAAACAGCTGAGAAGTCGATAGTAAATATCCTTTATCTTATCATGTCTATAACATATACAGGACCTTCATGAGCAGTCACCTGGGATCAACTACTTCATCTGTATGAAAAAAAATGTATGCACTCACTAACTGTAAGTTGCTCTGGATAAGAGCGTCTGCTAAATGACTAAAATGTAAAATGTAAAATCTGAACCAGTATCTTTGATAGCAGCACTTCAAACATACAGTAGCTACTGATCTTCAAGGGTAGAAACTAGAATCATATTTTGGACATTCCCTTACTGTTGTTAGGCAACTTGTAACACAGAAGACCCTATGCCATAAACGTAAAAAGTTGAGTCCTGAAACAAAGCAGGACGCAAATCTCCTTTGTATGAAGCACAGTGACAAAAGATTGGGTTAATATCACTCCACCAGTCCCAGACAAAAACACAGACAGCATGAAACCCAGACCCTGGTTGCACCTGAAGCTTCATTAAAAATGCAGACCTAACCCAATTTTGGTTTATGTTTTTGGGCGCGTGCCTTCTGCAAAGATTTAGTTTTCCATGCTCCAAAATTCCAAGTTCACATAGAGTGCAAGCTTGGCCCTGGCTCCAAAGGGAATTCCAGCAGGAGGAAATGCAGAGAGACTTGACTGGAGAATCTCTGGGATGTTTCTCAAAGAACAACAGCTGCTTTTTATGCTTTAAATTAGATGGTGTGTAGGCTAGTAATACATTTCAATCTCCATTACAAATCTCTGTGTGTGTGTGTATTTCATTCAGGGATATTTCAAAGGGGCTGCAATGTAAGTACATTATTCTGGCGTGAAATCGCATGTTTATGCATAGTGGAGTGAAGTGTGGAGCAGTGTAGGGCAGTAACATAGATCGCCTAGTCTAGTGAGTGCATGAAATCTCAGAGAAGACATCTGCTTTGTTTTTAGAGTTGCACTGCTATTTTCCCCCTTGTCCTACAACTTTCAATATATGTACCGCTATCTTAACGTTGTGTTCTGCTCGAGCACACTGACCGCAGATGTTCGCAATCACGAGAGTGCATTCTTAATTAACAATACAAAATCGCCCTAGATTTAGCGAGGGGAGACGAGCAACAAAAGTAGACCCACCCTCTCCCGATAGTAGCCTACACACCTCTCTCTTCCCCTCACACGAAAAAGAATATGGGCTCAGGAATGGTCGAAACGATTCTGAGTGAAAAGTTGTACAAAACCATTACGCAAACCAAACAAGCTACAAGTAGCCTACTCAAAGACAAAGAAATGTAAGGATGCGTGAAACATTTAAGGGATAGTTTTACGCAAAATAAAGATTTCACGTGGCATTAAAGTTGCACAAGTAATACAAATCAGCTAAAAAAAGAACAGAATATGCTATGTGAAGATCTTGAACATAAAAGCTCATGGGACTGGTGGCATTAGTGTAGGCTAAATAACTAACTGGCTGCATGCACATGTATATGAATGGGCAAATACCCTACTGAATAGACACATTTGGAAACGAGAATTCTAGTTATAAAAAAAAAAACGTCCGATTATGTAACCAACGCTGAATTATCAATTACAAAGTAACATTCAAGTGATAGGCCTACAAAAAGTTGCAAACAATGACTAGGCTAGAACTTCTTGTGTTAGGCTACTCAGACAGTGTGGAAAATCTTGAGAATAAAACTATTCTACTTGCCTCCGAATTGGAAATGTTGTCCCCTAAATCCACTCTGGTGGACAATGTAGAATCCCAGAGATATCTCTACAGATGAAAAAAGTTTCCTCTATCCCCGTTGTATAGACGCGTCTCTCATACGGCTCTGAGGACTTCCACTGGAGCACTAACGGATAGGGACTACGGGCATAGGGAGTGGCTAGCTGCACACGTGCTGCTGCGCGCCCTTCAATCGCCTTAGGTGAGATTTTAAGAGAGAGAAAAAACTGCCTAAATTCTTCGAAACGCAGTCTCAGCATCATCATAACTATCATAACTCATTGCCAGTAGGAGATGAAGGCATCTGGCAGTGCAATACCGCCCTCTTGTGACATTTTCATATCAATCATAGACAGCATGCATTGCAGTCCTCTAGTCCAGAGGTTCCCAAACTGTGGGGCGCGCCACCTAGGTGGGAGGGATCGGCAGGGGAGCGCCCCCATTTTTATTTTATTTGTTTTAATGGAACTCAGTCCGGATTGAAATGTACTCTTGAATGTTGTAATAGTAGAATGGACAAGGTGCAATTTCGAAATTTGGTAGTGCAGCATCAGTTCCTCTTGTCATGTTAGTCATTGCAAACCTTAGAGAGCTATTTATAACTTATAAGAAATTTCCAGATCAACTAGCCCATTACAGCTAACGTTTTTTTATTTAGGTTTTTTAGCCCATAGATATTGTTGTGATTTTTTTGTCACTCAAATATCACATCAATACACATTAGACATGGCAAATTGTATAGAATTGAAATAAATTTTGCTGTAAAACTGCACAATTTTCTTTGCACCCCATTACAAAATCTGTAGAATTGCAGGAAATAATGTTCCCCAATGCTGAAAGAGGGGCCTCTAGTGAAAAAGTTTGGGAACCCCTGCTCTAATCTCATGTTGGTGGAATTGCAATATGCAAACTCAAATTATGGAATGATGCACCTATTCTACTCCATTCCATGATATGCTCCAAAATATTGATAGGGACAGTTAGCCTACTCTAGTTCCAAGTAACATGATGTGTAGGATCTATTATATTCTATTATATCAAAAATATCAAGTGTGACAGTTACTCTAGTTGCAAGTAACATTTATAGGATGAAATGATTTTATATTTCTATTCTATTCATTCTATGCCATATTATACCAAAATATCAATAGAGTGATATGGAATGTTTCTGGAATGGGACGTTCTAAATTGTATTCCAATCTTACTGTCTGTGCACATAATGTAAATTTACAGAAAGAAAAGACAGACCACTGCCTGTCGTTTCCAATGGCAGCAAAGGAATCACAGTGGGCAGAGCCAAGCAAGAGCTAGCGAGATCCTATTGGCGCGTTCTAGCATGTATTTGCATATTTCCGTTAGGGAACGCGTACTCTGTGAAGTGCGCGTGTGCAATAACTAAATCAGGTCTTGCCCTCCTTTTTTAACAACGCAATTTTTTTAAAGCTTTGGGTGAAGTCTACAAAACTTAGTTCACTCTGTTCGTAACAGTTTGCAGTTTTTGGAACAGAAAACTGTATTGAGATCAAATGTTTAATCGATTAGAAAATTAGCAGAATATCGCCCAACATCCATCTCGCTGGGCTTCCTCTCATCACCATATTTGGTGGTGAGCGGAAACGCCAACCAAATGCTTCAGATTTATACATCCGGTTAAACATCTGGCTCATTCTTCTACCTGTTGTGTTACTGTAACTCGTTCAGATAATGGGTGCGTTGGTAAATTCGCTCTGGCTATCTACTACGATTTCAGAGCGCTCTTGTAATGAATGTACGAACGCCCATGAGCGCAGAGCGCACTCTGGCACTCCAGATGTAATATACGAACACACCTACTGTTAACAAATTGTTACAAAAATCAATGCAGTTGCTATGTAACCACAGACGCTTCACCCTCCCGGAAGTGCGTGCCTCAAAATAAAATGGCGGACCACAGCTGCATCAGAGGTTTGAATTCGCCGCTGTTGTGGCTTTTTTCTGTGCAATCTTTAATCAAATTGTGTTTGTCTTTTCTCGCGTTGAGAGCTGTAGTGGTCGAGGGTCAAACTGAAGATGCATTCCGAGCAGGAAATACCGTTGTTTCACCGGTCGCTGCAGCAGCACGGGATCTACGGTAGGGGGAGCAGGCTAAACACATTGGCCTACCTATGCTGTAAACCTGCTGTAGCCTGTATTTCAATATTGTATTAGGGACGCATAGAATATCCGTTATTTGCTTCTATAGCAGTCATTTCAGTTTTAAAAATGTGCTCAATATTTAGGATACATAATGTAATCAGAAAACATTCTTCAAACTGAGAATAAATCAAATCTGCCTGGTACTATCAAACCTGTAGGGCAGGCACAACACTAACACAACATGTTCAAATGTAGGCTACAGTTGTCCGCCTGACCGCCGATGAGTGAACATCACCTTCCCTGCGTACCTGGGAAGTATAGCTCACTGCAGTGAAGTGAGCCGACACTCGCAAAGCCATCCGTCTTCAGTTTCCGTCTGAATTTGTGCGCAAATACACAACACTTTACGGTATCGCGTGTTTTCTGGTTGTGAAACAGCAACAGTCACGCACAGATAGATTATATCTACAAATAATTCTCAGGGTCAGGGTGTGCCGTCTTTTCAAGAAAACGTGTCAGCCATACCTGCCCACAATATACATAAGGACAGACATAAAGGAAGAAATCATAGTCCTACCAGATAGCACACTACAGACCTGTATATTGTCAGTAAACAACATTTGTTGAAATCGCAGAAAGATAAAGCGGACTAGCCCTCAGGCTGGAAAAACAAGTTTGTTAAGATTTACAGATGTGAAAAATGGCTATCCTTTGGCAAACATTTTTTGAAGGGAAGTACGTGTGCAGACGTGACAAAATGTTTACCATCCAATTTTACTGTGTTAAAATTATAATCCATCAAAGTTCACTGTAAAATAAAGTAAACTTGTGTTTTTCCAATGTTGAAGCTGGCATAATGTGGCCATGTTATGCTTTGCAATTTTAATGACAATGGATTACTAATGTATTAGTGGCAGACATATTGCAAAATGTTTACCATCCATTTTTACTGTATTAAAATGTAATTATGCGGCAGATAGCTTAGTGGTAAAGAGCGTTGTGCCAGTAACCGAAAGGTTGCTGGTTCTAATCCCTGAGCCAACTAGGTGAAAAATCTGTCGGTGTGCCCTTGAGCAAGGCACTTAACCCTAATTGCTCCTGTAAATCGCTCTGGATAAGAGCGTCTGCTAAATAACAAAAATAAATAAAATAAATAATAAATTACCTCAAATTTCACTGTAATATAGAATAACCAGTTATATTAACCCATATTTTAAGATGGCATAATATGGGCATCGTATCAAAATAATTGTTGATAAGGCGCTTGTCTCTATCTGTGCATGACAGTGCATCTTACTCAGTTTCCCTACCAGAAAACACATGATACCTTAAAGTGTTATGTATTCGCGCACACAAATTGGCTCACTTGACCGCAGTGTCTAGCTCCAACAGAACTCATGTTTATGAGGCTGCCAGCCAGGCGCATAGCGCATAGCCTAATAGAACACAATAAGACATATAATTCTATCTCTATATCTTTATGCTGCCAGGTACCTGCTTTACGACATCAACCCCCCAGAGGGTTTCAACCTGCGTCGGGATGTGTACATTCGCATGGCATCCCTGGTGAAGACCCTGAGGAGACACAGTGACTGGGTGCTGGTGCTGCCCCCCTGGGGACGTCTCTACCACTGGCAAAGCCCAGACATCCACCAGATCAGGATCCCCTGGGGAGAGTTCTTCAGCCTCACCAGCCTGCAGGGCAACGTGCCTGTCATAGAGTACGAGGAGTTTATAGCTGGTGAGTTCAGCAGTCTCATACCCTTTCCACACTACTGAACTGACCTGAGACGAACTGAGCTGGGCCTCGTTTCCCAGAGCCTTCATAGCATTAAGATCATCGTTAGAACCATCTTTCAATATATCTTTAGTAGCCGATGAGACATCCCGAAAATTGTTCTTCTCACGAAACCGCCTGTAGCGTCCGAACGGTTTGGCCTACAAACTATTATGAACACTCTATGGCAGGATGAGACACTCACGAACACAAACGTCACAGGACTCAGCCAGGCCCAGCCAATCAGAATTAGTTTTTCCCCATAAAAGGGCGTTATTACAGACATAAATACTCCTCAGCACCCCCTCCCACTCCTCAGACAATCCCGCAGGTGAAAAAGCCGGATGTGGAGGTCCTGGGCTGGCGTGGTTACACGCGGTCTGTGGTTGTGAGGCTGGTTGGATGTACTGCCAAATGCTCTAAAATGACGTTGGAGGTGGCTTATGGTAGAGAAAGTAACATTAAATTATATGGCAACAGCTCTGTTGGACATTCCTGCAGTCAGCATGCCAATTGCACGCTCCCTCAAAACTTGAGACATCTGTGGCATTGTGTTGTGACAAAACTGCAAATTTTGGAATGGCCTTTTATTGTCCCCAGCACAAGGTGCACTTGTGTAATGATCATGCTGTTTAATCAGCTTCTTGACATGCCACACCTGTCAGGTGGATGGATTATCTTGGCAAATGAGAAATGAACACTAACAGGGTTGTAAACAAATTTGTGCACAAAATTAAGCTTTTTGTGCTTATGGAACATTTCTGGGATCTTTTATTTCAGCTCATTAAAAATGGGAACCAACACTTTACATGTTGGGTTTATATTTTAGTTCAGTATACATGTCGGTTGTTTTGCTCTAGGACGCCCACAAGCCTCTCAAGACCTGTCTGAAGGTCCCCTGTACCAGTTTCAAAAAGTTATGGAAGTATACAGTGCATTCGGAAAGTATTCAGACCCCTTTTCCACATTTTGTTACGTTACAGCCTTATTCTTAAATGGATAGAATATTTATTTTTTCTCATCAATCTATCCACAATACCCCATAATTACAAAGCGAAAACAGGTTTTTACAGAAATACCTTATTTACATAAGTACTCAGACCCTTTGCTATGATACTTGAAATTGAGCTCAGGTGCATCCTGTTTCCATTGATCATTCTTGAAATGTTTCTACAACTTGATTGGAGTCCACCTGTTGTAAATTCAATTGATTGGACATGATTTGGAAAGGCACACACCTGTCTATCTAAGGTCCCACAGTTGACAGTGCATGTCAGAGCAAAAACCAAGCCATGACGTCGAAGGAATTGTCCGTAGACCTCCGAGACAGGATTGTGTCGAGGCACAGAGCTGGGGAAGGGTACCAAACATTTCTGCAGCATTGAAGGTCCCCAAGAACACAGTGGCATCCATCATTCTTAAATGGAAGAAGTTTGGAACCACCAAGACTCTTCCTAGAGCTGGCCGCCCGGCCAAACTGAGCAATCAGGGGACAAGGGCCTTGGTCAAGTAGGTGACCAAGAACCTGATGGTCACTCTGACAGAGCTTCAGAGTTCCTCTGTGGAGATGGGAGAACCTTCCGGAAGGACAACCATCTCTGCAGCACTCCACCAATCAAGCCTTTATGTTAGAGTGGTCAGACGGAAGCCACTCCTCAGTAAAAGGCACACGACAGCCAGCTTGGAGTTTGCCAAAAGGCACCTATTGACTCCCAGACCATGAGAAACAAGATTCTCTAGTCTGATGAAACCAAGATTGAACTCTTTGGCCTGAATGCCAAGCGTCACGTCTGGAGGAAACCTGGTACCATCCCTACGGTGACTGGGGCAAAGGTTCACCTTCCAACAGGACAACGACTCTAAGCACACAGTCAAGACAACACAGGAGTGGCTTTGGGACAAGTCTCAATGTCCTTGAGTGGCCCAGCCAGAGCCCAGACTTGAACCCGATCTAACATCTCTGGAGAGACCTGAAAATAGCTGTGCATCAACGCTCCCCATCCAACCTGAGCTTGAGAGGATCTGCAGAGAAGAATGGGAGAAACTCCCCAAATACAGGTGTGCCTAGCTTGTAGCGTCATACCCAAGAAGACTTGAGGCTGTAATCGCTGCCAAAGATGCTTCAGCAAAGTACTGACAAAAGGGTCTGAATACTTATATAAATGTGATATTTCAGTTTTTATTTGTAATACATTTGCTAATCTTTCTAAAAACCTGTTTTTGCTTTGTCATTATGGGGTAATGTGTGTAGATTGAGGATTTTTTAAATTTATTGTTTTAATCATTTTAGAATGAGGCTGTAACTTAAAAATGTGGAAAAAGTGAAGGGGTATCAATACTTTCAGAATGCACTGTATATGGAGATAGTTCAGTGCCTAAAATAAGGGGAAAATATATGTCAAAGAAAATAGTTTCCTGATCCTCTTATATCTCTCAGATATAGGACAGACACACTTCAGAACAAACTTCCTTTTGATTTTTTGGGGGACTATCTGTTGTTCCATGTGGTGAATCTGTTATTCAATGCGTTTCTATTGGCTAATAGCAATCTTTATTTTTTATTTTTTATTTTACACCTTAAAATAGATTTAATTGTCATTTTCTGTCAACGATCTTCACTAAATACTCTGTAATGTCAAAATGGAAGAAAAATGTGAACATTAAAACACAAATATATGTTGATTAGATAAATATTCAACCCCCTGAGTCAATACGTTATAATCACTTTTGGCAACGGTTACAGCTGTGAGTCTAGCATTTTGCCTGTGCTTAGCTCTATTCCTAAAAAAAAAACAGATGACAAGCAAACCCAGAAACATGATGCAGCCACCACAATGCTTGAAAATATGAAGAGTGGTGCTCAGTGATGTGTTGTGTTGGATTTGCCCCAAACATAACCGCTCTGAATTCAGGACAAAAAGTTAATTTCTTTGTTTACAGTTTTACTTTAGTGCCTTATTGCAAACAGAATGCATGTTTTGGAATATTTTATTCTGTACAGGCTTCCTTCTTTTCACTCTGTCATTTAGGTTAGTATTGTGGAGTAACTACAATGTTGTTGATCCATCTTCAGTTATCTCCTATCACAGCCATCAAACTCTGTAACTGTTTTAAAATCACTGTTGGCTTCGTGGTAAAATCCCTGAGCGGTTTCCTTCCTCTGCGGCAACTGAGTTTGGAAGGACGCCTGTATCTTTGTAGTGACTGGGTGTATTGATACACCATCCAAAGTGTAATCAATAACTTCACCATGCTCAAAGGGATATTCAATGTATGCTTTTTTCTTTATACCCATCTACCAATAGGTGCCCTTCTTTGCGACCCTTTGGAAAATCTCTCTGGTCTTAGTGGTTGAATCTGTGTTTGTAATTCACTGCTCGACTGAGGGATCTTACAGATAATTGTATGTGTGGGGTACAGAGATGGGGTAGTAATTTTAAAAAATCATGTTAAACACTATTGCACACAGAGTGAGTCCATTCAACTTATTATGTGACTTGTAAGGAGCATTTTTACTCCTGAGCTTATTCAGGCTGTAACACAACAAAATGTGGAAAAAGTCAAGGGGTGTGAACTTTCTGAAGGCACTGTACATGTGCCTATGAATGTTATTTAAATCATATTGAAATCAATTTAATGTTCAATCAATGTAATTATATTTTGCGACTAGGCTGCTGTCTGTAATTTTTGCCTGAATGTGTTTCATGATATGTGACAACATGTGTGCAATGATGTGTCCAATCTGTGATTTAGTGCATTATTATTGGGTAAGCATAATAATCCGCCGCAATAGCCTGTTTGCAGCCATAGGTGGTAATATCTCTCTAGGAGCTGATCCGTCGTCAGTATTTTGGAATAATTCTAATGTTAAGGTAAGATTTGAATGGAGAATGCTGATCAGAGAGCAGCACTGCTTTTCTTTCGCCACATGATCTAATGACACACTTAGTGAACGTTCTCTCTATGTGCTTGTTGGGAAACAAAAAGTTGGCTCATAAATAACAATGCATCTGGTATGATCATCGTAATGCTTAAGTTACATCGCAACTGGGAAACGAGGCCCTGTACTGGGCTGGCCTGGTTTTGCATCCATCATAGTTGCTGGGATCGTGCTGGAAAGGCCAATGTAAAAGGCAAATATCAGAGTAGCATTCTGGTCACCCCTCAGACATTTGAGTAAATATCCATGTTTTTGTGGTTGGTCGACTTTACCTGACGTTTGGCTGATTTCAATTTTTTCCTCTGTTAATGATTGTTCCAATGGTAAAAATAATGCATAATGATGCATGGTTATAAAGGCTTATACGTGCTTAGAACAAGATATAAAACATTATACCTTCAGGCTTAAAGTAAAGTGTTATATTTCCATGTTTTTGGCTCCAGAGTCTGGAGGCCCATTTATTGAACAGGTCCTGGTGCTACAGAACTACGCTGAAGGGTGGACTGACGGGAAATGGGAGGAGAAAGTGGACGAGCGACCCTGCGTTGAGCGGTTAATGTACTCCAAAGACAAACAGGGTTATTACAGGTACAGTAATCACCAGGTTCAGAGATGGATAGGAACATAACGGATTCAACACAATACATTCAAAAGATTCATATGACTACTGCATGTAGACACTAACAATGAGTCTGTCATCTGTGCTTACCTACCTTTATGTCTCGCAAAGTTCAATTATCAAAGGTAGCTCAGCTGGTAGAGCACGGCGCTTGTAACGCCAAGGTAGTGGGTTCGATCCCCGGGACCACCCATACACAAAAAAAAATTATGCACGCAGGACTGTAAGTCGCTTTGGATAAAAGCGTCTGCTAAATGGCATATTATTATTATTATTATTATTATTATTAATTATAAATTATTAAAATGTGTTCTATGGCAGTGGAACAAGCTTTAGTAGTTGTAGTAGTAGCAGTAGTAGTATAGTCGGTGTAGTGAGTATGACTTATATTCGTATAAATAAAATCATCATGTTCGTTATGAGCAGTTTTCCCTAATTTGAAAACATTTCCTTCCTTTCTTTCCTCTCCTTCCTCTCCCTCTGTTAGAGGCTGGTTTTGGGGCTATGAGGAAACCAGGGGTGTGAACGTCACTTGTCTGTCAGCTCAGGGCCACGCCTCCATCCTGGCACCACTCCTGCAGAACAACATCACATCAACGTGAGTCAATAAATGTCCATGTGTTTGGCTAAGATAGATACAATTATTGAATCCTTGACTCAGTCCAAATCTTCTTGTCTACGGATGTGATATCATTATAACACTATTACAGGTTTAATGTGGACTTCCTATTTAAACTAAAACAAAAAGTCATATTCTAGAGTTGGCAGCATCGTCTTTATTGGATTTGCTGTATGTACTGTATGAGATGTGGACGTGTTCACTGATGGAGCTCTTTCCTTTCATATCCCCACAGATCAGTGATGTTGGACAAAGCAGAGACTGTCCTCCATGATCACTACGCAGGAAAGGACTACTGGGATGTAAGTCTGATGTCAAGTTGTAAAGAATGTATCTATGTCTGGTAATGGTTGATAGCCTACAATCATAGATAAGATACTGTAGTGACAAGATGATTAACTAAATCGTGCATTTCAATGCCTCTACTTTTTTCAAATGAATTGATCGTCATCACAATTGTACCTTATTACCACTAATTTAAAGTGACTGTTGCAAAATAGTTGAAGAGATTTTCGATGTGCCGATTCCATGGCACATGGTTTATAAACTGATAAACAAAACAAAGCCGTATTCAAATCTTAAATTATTATACAAAATTATTGCAACCAATAGAATGTTATGTATATGGGCGATACAACCATCCCAGCTCTGCAGACTTTTGCTAAAAATAGACAAAATCATTAGATCACTTGTTTTGGTACTGTCCATACAGTGCCTTCTGAAATTATTCAGACCCCTTGACTTTTTCCACATTTTGTTAGGTTGCAGCCTTATTCTAAAAATTGATTAAATTGTTTGTTTTTCCTCATCAATCTACACACAATACCCCATAATGACAAAGCAAAAACTGTTTTTTTGAAATGTTTGCTAATTTATAAAAAATAAAAAAAACTGAAATTTTACATAAGCATTCAGACCCTTTACTCAGTACTTTGTTGAAGCACCTTTGGCAGCGATTACAGCATTGAGTCTTCTTGGGTATGATGCTACAAGCTTGGCACACCTGTGTTTGGGGAGTTTCTCCCATTCTTCTCTGCAGATCCTCTCAAGCTCTGCCAGGTTGGATGGGGAGCGTTGCTGCACTGCTATTTTCAGATCTCTCCAGAGATGTTTGATCGGGTTCAAGTCCGGGTTCCAGAGAATTGTCCCGAAGCCACTCCTGCGTTGTCTTGGCTGTGTGCTTAGGTTCGTTGTCCTGTTGGAAGGTGAACCTTTGCCCCAGTCTGAGGTCCTGAGCGCTCTGGAGCAGGTTTTCATCAAGGATCTCTCTGTACTTTTCTCTGTTCATCTTTGCCTCGATCCTGACTAGTCTCCCAGTCCCTGCCGCTGAAAAACATCCCCACAGCATGATGCTGCCACCACCATGCTTCACCGTAGGGATGGTGCCAGGTTTCCTCCAGACGTGACGCTTGGCATTCAGGCCAAAGAATTAAATCTTGGTTTCATCAGACCAGATAATCTTGTTTCTCATGATCTGAGAGTCTTTCGGTGCCTTTTGACAAACTCCAAGGGGACTGTCATGTGCCTTTTACTGAGGAGTGGCTTCCGTCTGGCCACTCTACCATAAAGGCCTGATGGGTGGAGTGCTGCAGAGATGGTTGTCCTTCTGGAAGGTTCTCCCATCTCCACAGAGGAACTCTGGAGCTCTGTCCGAGTGACCATCAGGTTCTTGGTCACCTCCCTGACCAAGGCCCTTCTGCCCCAATTGCTCAGTCTTCTGCCCCAATTGCTCAGTTTGGGCGGGCTGCCAGCTCTAGGAAGAGTCTTGGTGGTTCCAAACTTCTTTCATTTAAGAATGATGGAGGCCACTGTATTCTTGGGGACCTTCAAATCTGCTGAAATGTTTTGGCACCCTTGCCCAGATCTGTGCCTCGACACAATCCTGTCTCGGAGCTCTACGGACAATCCCTTCAACCTCATGGCTTGATTTTTACTCTGACATGCACTGTCAACTGTGGGACCTTTTATATAGACAGGTGTGTGCCTTTCCAAATCATGTCCAAACAGGTGGACTCCAATCAAGTTGTAGAAACATCTCAAGGATGATCAATGGAAACAGGATGCACCTGAGCTCAATTTCGAGTCTCATAGCAAAGGGTCTGAATACTTATGTAAATTAGGTATTTCCGTTTTTTGTTTTTAATATATTTTTTAAAAATGTCTTTAAAAAAAAATGTTTTTGCTTTGTCATTATGGGGTATTGTGTGTAGATTGCTGAGGAAATTGTTTTATTTAATTCATTTTAGTATAAGGTTGTAACGTAACAAAATGTGGAAAAAGTCAAGGGGTCTGAATACTTTCCGAAGGCACTGTATGTAGCTTGTTTTTGGTCGCAGGTTCAGGAATGGCTGAAGAATTCAAACATTTATCTGGAGCTAACTGCTGTGTGACTTGAAAAGCCAGAGTCAATTGATCAATAATAATACAATACTTTTAGTAAAAAATTTCATCTTTAATTTACACTCTAGAAACTATGAGAATCGAAAGATTCAGAACTTTTGGGAAACATTACAGCACAGTTGAAAAATATATGGCAATTAGAAATCAAAACTGAATGGTTTTCAGAGATACTGTAGATGGGAGGGGTTGAGGGTAGCTGAAGGGTGGGACTAAAAACAAAGAAAAAATATATAACTAATGTAAAATATACAGTGTCCGTAAAATGTATGTAGACTGTATAAGCTGGAATTAGAAGAATAAGTATTGTTTTCTATTAGTTTACTCCAATTAGGAAAGGGGTGGTAGGGTTAGGGGAAAATAATAAATAATATATGGGGTATTGAAAATGATGCAGACAATTACATTGATAGAAGCCACAATCTATGCAAAATTAAAGCTGATCTACCCCCTACATTTTTTTATAATAAAATAAAATAATGTCCATTTGAAAATCTCACTTTTAAAAGTTAATATTCTGTTAAATCATATCCAAATAATGCTGTTAACTTATCCTATACTCGTATTTGTGGCCAAAGCATAAATAGGAGGGGGGAAAAAACACTTAAAAAACCATACCTCAAACTTGTCAAACAGACCATTTCAAAAATGCTTTCTATTTCCTCATAGAGGATTATGTTATCCTCCTGAGGAGAATGAGCTGGCCAATCAGCGACGTACTCGCATGAATCTTTTTTATGACTGGTATACACCCACACCATTCTGTTGTTGGGGTACGCACGCACTATTCCAACACAGAAGCTGCTTTTTAACATACTTTAAACTATTTTACTCATATTGTAATTAATTATAGATCGTATTTCATAGAAATCTGGTAACACTGGATAGTTACTTTAATGCAGAGTAGTGAATAGTTCCTTCCTGATTTGTTTAACACTCCCCCATTTTGCCTGTCTTTTTGTGTCTTCTCTCTAGACTCGCCGCAGTATGGTCTTTGCCAAACACCTGCGTCTCCTAGGGGACGAGTTTCGAGCAAAGTACCTGAACTCCACAGACGAGCTGGACCAGACCGTATACAATGAAGACTGGACTCGCATTAAGGTTTTCAGACCTCCTTCACATACATCCACGCCTTGCACATTTCAATTATATGTATTTATCTATGCACATTGATTACTTGTTGCACTAGCAACATGTACTGTGTGGGAAAAATGGAGGGAAATGTCTTAAGCTATGAATAGTTCTGGTTTGCCATTGGTGGCTGATTTGGATTGGGCATGAGTGGTTTGACATGTTATTCATTTCTGTGTGTAAACTCAGAATAAGCTGGGTTCTGCCAGAGGGGGGCCGTACTTGGGTGTCCACCTGAGAAGGAAGGATTTTATCTGGGGTCACAGAGAGGATGTGCCCAGCCTCAAAGGAGCTGTCAAGAAGATCAGGAACCTCATGAAGAAAAGCAAACTAGACAGAGTCTTTGTTGCCACTGACGCAGATGAGGAAGGTACTGTTGTACTTTGGTGCCAATGAGATGGATTGATATTGAATGTAGAATACAGAAGTTGAAAAAAAAAGCCATTCATATTTACAGCCATAAGAAAATAAAAACAATAATTGTGTTAGGAATTGGAATTTCAATTGACTTTTGAAATGGAATTGACCCCATCCGTATAACCCAGTACAGAGAATGCCTACATCAAGGCTTGGCAGGTTTATACTGTGTAGCCTACTCCACAGAGAGTCTGTGGTTTATACAACGATATTAAGGATGCTCTTTTTCGTCAGCTCTCCAGACAAAATGATAATTTTAACGGTCTAGATTAAAAGAATAAATTGTGTGACATTTTATCAGGTAACAATAATGTAAATGTCTGTGCCAAAGCCTGCCACCTTATCCTCCAATGGGGACTTTTCTTTATAAGTGCCTAATTCACCTTTTTCCTACTATTTTTTGATTATGCTTACATGTGTATGATGTAATGTATTATACAGTAGATGATGCCTGTACCATCTTTGACTATGATTGTTTTTTAGTGTCTCAAAACTAAATTTGAGTGGTCCACAATGTTTTTGTTGTTGTTGTTTTTGTATTATTGTATCATTGTGGAGTGACACTTAAATACACTTTTCTAATCTAATCTCTAGACCTAGAGAATAGGGCCAGTCAGAGTATGGCTCTAGGGCCAGTGTGTTCCTGATGAGGCATCTGTCTGTCCTGTGCAGAGCTGGAGGAGCTGAAGAAGATGTTACCAGAGATGACACGCTTTGAGCCCACCTGGGAGGACCTGGAACTACTCAAGGACGGGGGCGTGGCTATCATCGACCAATGGATCTGCGCACATGCCAGGTACAGCTCCACCAGTCAGTTGAAAGAAAGTGTTGCACAATGTGTGCAGACTGTAGGTAGGGAGCTGTGACAAGTACACATGATGCAGACATTCTTGTACTTTTCTTTTGTTGAAGTGCACATGAGCATACTGTAGTTAAAACAGCTTTTGTTATCCCCGCATTCTGTAGGCTACAGTAGGATAGGGGGTCATGTGATACCACTTACAGTATTGTAATACTTTTATTAGCCTGTAAGTGTCCTTTTAAGATCATATTTCTATCAAATGTCTGTTAAGGGAATTCGATTGTCAGAGCAGTGTAAAAATAGGCCTAAACAAATCCTTAAAACATTTTCCAGGTTTGCTTTACATCATCATTACTCAACATCAAAATGTTTAAATGTAATACGCCACCCATGATAGAGGGATAAACAGTATCATTGAAAGATACTTAAAGGAGCAAAGAAAGATCATTGAAGTTTTTGTGCCCCATTTTAAACGTGAGATGGCAGATCTAGGTGTTCATGATAATACTCTGTACTTCAGACATACTGTATATATATATTGTACTGTATGTTGTCCAAGATTCTGCTGTTAAATTAAGTAAATATTTTCAACTGAAAAAACGGATCATATGCGTCAGACCCACACATTGACTTGAAAGCCATTGTCCCTTATAATCACATGGTCTGAGGGTGCATTCCAGTCACATTCGTTTCTGGATCACTCCGCTAGAAATCTGTTAGAGTACTGGAGTGTTAAACACATCATTACACTTCTACTGCACTTTAGAACATTTGCACTGCATTTAAATATATATTATTAGCCTATTGTGTGTTGTGTATTTTGTATGGGGTGATGTATTGTATTGAGGAATGTGAAGTCTATTGTATACTGTATTTCGTATGTTGAGGACTTTCTGTTGATTTGATACTTGTAAAACGGACTTGCCTTTCTTAATTGCCCCTGGTGGGATAAATACAGTTGCATTGAATTCAATTCCTTCTATCTCCCTCCCATTTCCCAGGTATTTTATCGGAACATCTGTGTCGACCTTCTCTTTCCGGATCCACGAGGAGAGAGAGATTCTGGGATTCGACCCCAAAACCACCTACAACCGCTTCTGTGGGGACAGTGAGAAGGAGTGTGAACAGCCTACACACTGGAAAATAGTTTACTGATGCAACGACGCAACACCCCTTTCAACACCTCTCAATGAACATGCCAATTGCAGTGTTAACGTGGAGCTTTGTTCTTTTTATATATATATATATGTTCTAATAGTGTTTTTTTGTATAATGTTTTTATTGTTTTGAGAATTGTCCTAACTGGCCTGTATTGACCACTGTGAATAGACAAACAAACTTCGAAGACGTTCTAAAGGTCACCACTTTATTTTCACTCGTTTGCACTCATGTCTGCTAAATTTACGTATATAAACCATTGTTTTATCAATCATGATGGCAGCACCTATGTGTAAAAATGAGCATCAGATTTGGCTGCAATGCATGGTATATATTGCTGCCTTTTTTTGTGTAACATGAATTGAAAGAGCAGTGTCTTTCATTTACTTCTGCCAATTCAAAGTCTATTTGGTTGTTTATCTTCCTTATTATGCTGTACCATATTTGGTGAGCTTATTATGCTGTACCATATTTGGTGAGCTTGAGAAACCTTTTTTCTTTTTGTTTTGTTTTCCTTTGTGGAAGCCTATGATAGAAACTTTGTTGCTTGGTTGACATTTCAGTCTTCCAACAGAGAGAAGCAGATATATGTGACTAAATATAGTATGTTGATGTGCCATTTTTGTTCCACTTGATCTGTTAAAGGTAAGTTCAAAGCCGCATAGTGAACATGGATTGACCAGTTTATTATGGTGAAACCCCAAATATGATCTATATGATCAGATATCAACAGAACTTTGACAAGGATTACAATTACAGTAAGGTTTGTTCTTCAGACTACATATACTGAATGACAATGCATTTTAGTATTTTTCCACTTGTATGACTGTCATTTAGGAAATGATTTAATTTTAAACACGTTTCAAGACTATCAATCAGAGCACATACCATATTTTCGCTGATTACATCATCCTTTTTCTTTCCTTTTTCTTACATCAAAAGGACTGCTGAGACTGACACAAAGCTATCACCTGTCAAGATGTTCTAAGGTGACCGTCATTAAAGAGACTATTTTCAAAGAACTAGACCCAGCCCTGTTTTTATTCCTGAGAGAGCAAATATGTTCAATGACGAGGAGGATGAGGACATGTATTGGTTCATTTCAAGAGGAAAAACCTCAGAATGTATCTTATCAGTTGGTCAAATACAATTTGTTTGTACAATTGAGAGTTGATTTTGTTAATAATGAGAGTTCACTACTATAGCACAACAGTAGGCAATAATCCTATTCAAGAGTTAGCTATTGCCACTTTAGTTGTTCGGCTATGAGAGAGGAGTGTTGCAAGTCATTGTATACGTTTTTCAATTTTTTTAAAAGTCTGAAATAGTCCAATATGGGTTCACACAAGCACTGTGTTTTCTGTACCAAATACCATTCGGTTAGTATAGTATCTTTCTTTTGAATGAATAACCAGTTTTAGTAGTAAGGAGATACTTCACTTGATACAGACACCATAGTGAACTGAGTGTTGTGGCTAGAAGCCTTCCGAAGGGCCTGAAATCAGGGCACATAAGTAACTTGACTCCTTTGGCTCTAAAAAGGACAGACAGTGTCTGTAACTGATTAACCTGCCCTGATTTACATTTCCCTTCCCCATGAAAATAAACTGTATATAGGTCCATTATCATTTCTACACAGTTTTGATTTGGTTTTAATAATTTAAAGTACATTGAGGTTGTTTAGTTTCTTTTTTTCTTTTTACTTAAACCACTTGCGGGCCAGATTGGACCCCCTCGCGAGCATATGTTTGACACCTCTAATCTAAAAGCACCAAATTCCAATGGAAAAAACAATGTCTGATTTTTGGTTTAGTTATCATCTAAATGTGTTATCACTGTGGTTTCAACCATTTAAAAGCACAACAAAGTTCAAATGGAAGTACAATGTCAGATATTTTGTTTATTTATTTTACATTTACATTACATTTGAGTATTTATACAACAATTGAACTGTGCTTCATCTAATAGTGCAACCAAATGACCTGGATTGCCCTGTAGCTCAGTTGGTAGAGCATGGCACTTGCAACGCCAGAGTTGTGGGTTCATTTGCCACGGGGGGCCAGTATGAAAAATGTATGCACTCACTAACTGTAAATCGCTCTGGATAAGAGCGTCTGCTAAATGACTGAAATGTAAATTTCAGTTGCAATTACATTAAAAGTACATAGTGCAAGTGATCAATTCTGTTCAAGATTCTGCACAGATTATTATAGCAACTGTGAAGACCTGTGACCTTTGCAAGCTTTATATGATTACCTAAGAAGACATTTATAGTTACATTAGGCTAACCTCAAAATGTGGCCATGGATGTGTTACTCATTTTAAGGTTGAATAACTACTGTTACATTAGTTTGTAAGATTAGGCTATTTACTGTATTACAAAAATATTATTGTAATTGTATTTGGTTGACAATGCAACCAAATATCAACATTTAAAGAATATCTAATGCTTGGATAGTTACATTAGAGCATTAATTACATTAATTACATATGTTGGATTCACGTCTCAATCTCAACCCCAAAAAAGCAACGTTTAAGTATAGGACTAAATCTAATCAAACTTTAAATGCACTTTATATAAAGTTTTATTTGATTGTCCTATTCTTTAACTTTGATTATTGGTTGCTATGAGACGTGAATCCAACATATCAATGATTCACTTGAAGATTACAATTGAAATCATCCAAAGCTTGAAACCATAGGCCTATATTTATTGTCTATTTTTAGTTTAACACTAGGTTGAATTGAAACAATAGCTGTTGATGACTTTGCAAATGCTATATAGGCCTAAATAGTATCATTGATGATATACAGTGGCTTGCGAAAGTATTCACCCCCCTTGGCATTTTTCCTATTGTGTTGCCTTACAACCTGGAATTAAAATTGATTTTTTGGGGGGTTTGTATTTTTTAATTTACACAACATGCCTACCAATTTGCATCAACAAGATGCAAAATAAAAAAAATGGTGAAGCAAACAAGAAATAAGACCAGAAAACTTGAGCGTGCATAACTAGTCACCCCCCCCCCCCCCCCCCCCCCCCCTCCCTATTCAGAGTCACCTTTTGCAGCAATTACAGCTAGAAGTCTCTTGGGGTATGTCTCTATAAAACTGCTCCAGGTCCTTCAAATTGGATGGGGTTCTGCTGGTGTACAGCAATCTCTAAATCATACCACAGATTATCAATCAATCAATCAATCAATTTTATTTTATATAGCCCTTCTTACATCAGCTAATATCTCGAAGTGCTGTACAGAAACCCAGCCTAAAACCCCAAACAGCTAGTAATGCAGGTGTAGAAGCACGGTGGCTAGGAAAAACTCCCTAGAAAGGCGAAAACCTAGGAAGAAACCTAGAGAGGAACCAGGCTATGAGGGGTGGCCAGTCCTCTTCTGGCTGTGCCGGGTGGAGATTATAACAGAACCATGCCAAGATGTTCAAAAATGTTCATAAGTGACAAGCATGGTCAAATAATAATCAGGAATAAATCTCAGTTGGCTTTTCATAGCCGATCATTAAGAGTTGAAAACAGCAGGTCTGGGACAGGTAGGGGTTCCATAACCGCAGGCAGAACAGTTGAAACTGGAATAGCAGCAAGGCCAGGCGGACTGGGGACAGCAAGGAGTCACCACGGCCGGTAGTCCCGACGTATGGTCCTAGGGCTCAGGTCTCTCAGTTGGCTTTTCATAGCCGATCATTAAAGAGTTGAAAACAGCAGGTCTGGGACAGGTAGGGGTTTCGTAGCCGCAGGCAGAACAGTTGAAACTGGAATAGCAGCAAGGCCAGGCGGACTGGGGACAGCAAGGTGTCATCATGCCCGGTAGTCCTGACGTATGGTCCTAGGGCTCAGGTTCTCAGAGAGAAAGAGAGAACGAGAGAATTAGAGAGAGCATACTTAAATTCACACAGGACACTGGATAAGACAGGAGAAGTACTCCAGGTATAACCAACTAACCCCAGCCCCCCGACACATAAACTACTGCAGCATAAATACTGGAGGCTGAGACAGGAGCGGTCCGGAGACACTGTGGCCCCATCCGAAGAAACCCCCGGACAGGGCCAAACAGGAAGGATATAACCCCACCCACTCCGCCAAGGCACAGCCCCCGCACCACTAGAGGGATATCCCCAACCACCAACTTACAATCCTGAGACAAGGCCGAGTATAGCCCACAGAGGTCTCCACCACAGCACAAACCAAGGGGGGGGCGCCAACCCAGACAGGAAGATCACGTCAGTAACTCAACCCACTCAAGTGACGCACCCCTCCCAGGGACGGCATGAAAGAGCACCAGCAAGCCAGTGACTCAGCCCCTGCAACAGGGTTAGAGGCAGAGAACCCCAGTGGAGAGGGGAACCGGCCCGGCAGAGACAGCAAGGGCTGTTCGTTGCTCCAGCCTTTCCGTTCACCTTCACACTCCTGGGCCAGACTACACTCAATCATATGACCTACTGAAGAGATAAGTCTTCAGTAAAGACTTAAAGGTTGAGACCGAGTCTGCGTCTCTCACATGGGTAGGCAGACTGTTCCATAAAAATGGAGATCTATAGGAGAAAGCCCTGCCTCCCGCTGTTTGCTTAGAAATTCTAGGGACAATTAGGAGGCCTGCGTCTTGTGACCGTAGCGTACGTATTGGTATGTACGGCAGGACCAACTCGGAAAGATAGGTAGGAGCAAGCCCATGTAACGCTTTATAGGTTAACAGTAAAACCTTGAAATCAGCCCTTGCCTTAACAGGAAGCCAGTGTAGGGAAGCTAGCACTGGAGTAATATGATCAAATTTCTTGGTTCTAGTCAGGATTCTAGCAGCCGTATTTAGCACTAACTGAAGTTTATTTAGTGCTTTATCCGGGTAGCCGGAAAATAGAGCATTGCAGTAGTCTAACCTAGAAGTAACAAATGCATGGATTAATTTTTCTGCATCATTTTTGGACAGAAAATTTCTGATTTTTGCAATGTTACGTAGATGGAAAAAAGCTGTCCTTGAAACAGTCTTGATATGTTCGTCAAAAGAGAGATCAGGGTCAAGAGTAACACCGAGGTCCTTCACAGTTTTATTTGAGACGACTTTACAACCATCAAGATGAATTGTCAGATTTAACAGAAGATCTCTTTGTTTCTTGGGACCTAGAACAAGCATCTCTGTTTTGTCCGAGTTTAAAAGTAAAAAGTTTTCAGCCATCCACTTCCTTATGTCTGAAACACAGGCTTCTAGCGAGGGCAATTTTGGGGCTTCACCATGTTTCATTGAAATGTACAGCTGTGTGTCATCCGCATAGCAGTGAAAGTTAACATTATGTTTTCGAATAACATCCCCAAGAGGTAAAATATATAGTGAAAACAATAGTGGTCCTAAAACGGAACCTTGAGGAACACCGAAATGTACAGTTGATTTGTCGGAGGACAGACCATTCACAGAGACAAACTGATATCTTTCCGACAGGTAG